TATGAGGCATGCATAACTATAACTTCACACAGGGAAGCTTGGGCACAGAAGTCGATCACTAATTTGATAATCGTGTCACTTGGCTAACGACGCTCTGTAGTCGATGTTCGTTTAATGAGAGACAGAGCTGTCAACTAATTCGCATTATTCTCTGTAGGCGACACAGTGAGACCTGAAGGACAACCGGAAGAAGCAGCCAGATCATCAAATGGGAAGAAGCAAAATCTTCTGTGGATACAGCAGTGAAGTTAATAAACAACATCTTACGACGTTTCGAAGAGATTCCAGTGACAGCTGACCTGGAAGATGCCTAGGGGCAGCTGAATGCTTCCGTTTAAAGCTGGATTGCCTACCTTCTGTGGATCAGAATCGACCATGTTTATGGTAAAAAAATGTTCAACTGATTATCACCGATAAGAAGGCTGCATGGAAAAGACGGCTTGGAAGCAAAAGAGAGTCAACTCGAATGCAATATGTTGAAACGTTAATGACTGCTTCTGATGCAATGGCTAACGTGAAAGTTAATTTCTGGAAAAGTTCGGTGAAATTCTAGAGTCAAAGTTACAAATAACAAACAAGTGATTCTGGCATACCATTTCCTGTCTCCAAAATGGAAAGAAGGGCAGTCTAAGAGTCTTGAAGAACAAATTCTTATGCCTTCATACCAACGAAGAGGATATATTGGAGAGAGTGGTTTAAAACTCTTGATCAACCGCAGGAAGAACAGCTACTAGAAAACATTGTCCTTCAGTAGATGAAGCATCAGTGCCACACATGCTACTAACAATGCTGTGTGACATTCAGATGTCAGTAAATGCTTTTTGTTAGCGTTAAATGAAGCAGTATAGTCAACAATATGTGAAGATGTATGAAGATGACACAATTGTTTGCTCGTCTTCTGATGGCCAAAGGGCAGAAGCTTCCAGAATTCTTATGTATTATACATATTATATTATATCTGATATTAAACAGCCAGCTTTTCGGTTTTATACAGTTTAAAGAAGTCAGTGACAGCGAAGAAGCAATTTTTCACATAGGTGCTGCGCCACTCTTTTACGCAATGAGGCAATGTTCACGCGGCGTCCCCACCATATGTTATGACAGTATGACAGTTTTAGGATTTAACGAATGTTGTCATCTTACCGCTCAAAGTAAAACCAGTAGTTTATTGAGCAGCAGCAGCCTCAGCGGCTCTGCATGTCCCATTGGAACGGATTAATTGTCGAAGGCAGATCTGGCGGAAATTCGAAGGACAATCGAAACAAAATAATAGAAATCGAAACGAATAATCCTCGTGTCAGCAAGTGGAAATTAAACACAACTGTTTTGAAGAAAGTCGGGGAAAGGAACATCCGGAAGTCATGCCAAGTCGGTCTTTAAAAAAAGTAAAGAACCTGGAAAAAAATATCTGCCAGAGTATGCAAGTTTGGCCAGCCAATCATTGTGGGACAGGAGATCATGGACTCTCGAATTATTTTGCTGCTGGAAAAATAACCTGATTTCTTAGCACAGATCGAACAGTTGGATTAGTACTTTGCCCCTCGACAGCCATCCTACTTCAGCATGAAGAAGAACATGAGTATGCTGAGAACCCATTTCTTCAGTTGCCTCAAATATTCGAGAATTGAGGGCTTTGTCGCGAAGTTGTTTACAATTTTAATTACATCAATGAATACTTCGTGCATTTCTGGGGTATAATCGTTTCGCCACAGGCTTCTCATAATACAATGAGTAAAAAACGATGAAGAAGATAATAAGTCTGATCAAAAAGCGAATCACAATATCCTCGCTGGTTATTAGGATGCCACACAACTGTCTATATTGAATTTTGCATCTCTACTTTCCTTAACTTGAGGATATAATAGCCTGCTCGACTTTATATCCGCGATGCCGACTATCTATGACCTCGCAACCACATTTACAAGCCTTGCTTCAGAACCGTTCCCATTACCTTCGAAACTGTTACCTCGCTTTGTGCAATCTGATTAGTAGAACTGGATAGTTTCTGCATCCCATAAAAATTCTGAATTGTGAATACTAAACGAATTCCTATTATGCATTGGCGTTTCTTGCGCGAACGAAATGATCACGTCGCCCTTCGGTACTCAATGCATTTAATTGACTTGACTAACAAGTCATGAAGAGATGGCATGCACGAAAGCAAAACTGCGCCGTCTGATGCAAAGGATTATTTTTCGAATAATTCGACGTAATAAACGGAGTCTGTCAAAGCAAGGTACTCTCTGTTGTCCATCCTCATGGTGGACTGCGCAATGCGAAAGAGCATCAATCTAATAATACGATGAATTGACTGTTAGCAAGCGACGCAGTTCATGATACTCAGCGTTAGACTGGCCTCCAGCAAGCTGACGAAACCGTGCAGCTGAGCAACTCCGCTATAGCAGAGGGACCACAGCTCAACGCCATGAAGACGAACACCATACCATATACGAACACTAAACGGTAACATACACGAGAGCGTCATCTGCAACCATCGGTTCAAGAGTACTGCGAAATTGGACTGCTTTATATGAGCTGGATCATTTCAAATATCTTCGAACAGTCTTCACTAGTAACACGGTATTGATCCTGAAGTGATCCGGTGCCTGGAAATGGTAACTGCAGATCTGGGTAAGCTGTATGAAATATCGAAAGATCGTAAAGGGAAAACAATCAGAATCCTATCGTCTTTAAAACAGCCGTATTTGCAGTGTTCTTGTACAGATTCATAACATTTATCATCCTGAAACGACATGAAGCTCGTTTAGCTAGCTTCTAACCAAGCTGAGGGCACAACCGAGCAGATGCAAATAAGCAGGAGCCTGAGCAAATTATTTTGACCCAAGACTCAGAGATCCGCGTACAGTTTGTTAATAAACGGCTCCCCAAGACGATAAAAATATATTCGAAACTGCATTTTGATAGTAAAAACTCCTTCATTGCCGGTCCCAAGCCCGGTTCAGAAAGGAGGAGGGTTGGAGTCCGTGGCGAAGTCTCCGTTGAAGTTCGCCACCTGCCACTCATGATATTGATACCATCGAAAATTATACCGGCTCGCACGTCGTCCGGGTCACCAGGGGCCGCGTAGGTTGTCGGGGCAGACTGCGAAAAGTCGGCGATCAGAAACTGCTCATCGCCTTCAACCAGCTGGAGGCGTGGCAGCATAACGACGGCTGACGAAGACCGACGAACGACGACCAAGATACCAGTCAGCAATGCAGTCGCTACCCATTTTGAACGCAGGAGGCAGACAGCGCGATGCCATTACAGCACGTCAGAAAAGGCTCCACAGAAACGACACCACCAGTGGG